CCTCAGGAAGGCAGAGATCCAGATGAAATGCCTGGATGAATTAGTCCACAGCCATTCAGTACATGTGCTGAGATTAGGTTTGGCCTCATCATTTGATCAGAAGAGAAAATGGTTTGGGGTGATCTTACCCTGGGGGGCTTCCACATTTTATATGTGACAGAAATGGAAAAAAGCTATAAGTTGAAAAGGTTAAGTGCACGCTTGTTCTCAGTATCCAGGTTTACTCCGTGTTTTTGCCAGAAATAACGTACAAATAATGCTTACATTGTTATATTGTGTGAAAGGTTTGGCTGATTTCATGACACCGCAGTACTTTGTGTGCTTTGAGGGTTTAGCTATATGTGTAGCCTCAATGTCCCCGTCTAACGCTCATGTTGGATATTCCAGAGAGAGTGACGTTTGGAGTTGTTTCAGGCGTTTTCTATCATTATCAATTTGAGTATCCTTTCTTCTGGCTTTTCATTCTGCCCTAAATGTTTAATTATGTTCTATATCTGGATAACAAAACTGAAGCATCTTGGGTCTTGGTGTTCTTCTGGTCAAATGCCTTCTTTGCTTGGCACAAACTAGACATAGAAATATTAGAAATATTTCTGATCACAGTACATCGATCCAGAATCAGAATCCTAAGCGTTTTTATGTACTATTGGAACCGTTTCTGGTCTTTCATAGCGTCTCTTATACACCATTCTGTGTAACATCTCTGACTGTTGGCTCATGCACAGCAACACTGTGACAAAGTGTCATCTGTTGTTCACCAGGGACGTTTAAAGACTTCTTTGAGCATCTTTTGTCATTGTGTGGGCTGCTTTTGATGGGATGTTCCATTTTTTGGTAGATTATCTGAAATGATATCTTTTTTATATTTGTGTAGCCAGGGACATTTATTGCAGACGAGATCCAGGATTATAATCAAAAATGCATGTGGTTTGTACAGTTTTTACTAATCTGCTAAGTAATGATTCTGGAGCTAATTACCGTCTATAGTATGTCAAACTCTGAACTCCTCCTGTTTGAATAGACCTCTGGAAGTTTGTTTCTTATTAATCCTAATGCCGAAATGAACAGCTGAGCTATTAAGGTTCGAGCTGGGCTATCTGATGTGGTGGTGGTGTGTTAGTGTGTGTTGTGCTGGTACGAGTGGATCAGACATAGCAGTGCTGCTGGAACACTGTGTCCCCTCACTGTCCACTCTATTAGACACTCCTACCTTGTCAGTCCACCTTGTAGATGTAAAGTCAAAGACGATAGCTCAACTGCTGCTGCACAGTTTGTGTTGGTCACCCTCTTCATCAGTGGTCACAGGACGCTGCCCACAGGACGCTGCCCACAGGACGCTGCCCACAGGACGATGATAGAAGTATGGCAGTATTACTTTCCTGTTCCAGATAATAGCATTTTATAGTGATCCATTTATCCAAGAAATCACATTTATAGTGATATTGATTCATTTAGAACAATTAATAGCAGTGACTTGTTCAATTATGGCAGCTTAATTCATTCATAGTGCTTAAATATAGAATGTCCAGATCATGAAACATTATAGTTGATTCTGTCACAGAGTCTCCCACCCAATAGATTCCAATCTTCAAGATTCCAATCTTAAGTGGTCCTTTTCTGCTTCATCTCCATCCTGGCTCCACTCACTAATCATCACCTGCATCTGTTTGTTGTTGTGGTCTAATTGTTGAGGACTCATATAAACTTCTGTAGTTAATGACTCGATTGCACTGATCTAGTTTCTAAACCCGGATTTTGCAAGTGACCTGACGTCACATAGACTGATGACATCAGGAATGTTAATATTTATGGTGGGATGTGAGAGCTCGGTTGAAAGCATGCCCAGTTTCACCCCTGGACAGTACACACTCTTATCTGTGCATAGAACAGAACCCTTCATATGATTTGATGTGTGGATTTATATATTAACTTGTTTTACCATCACTGATCTCCTGTATTACTGAGCTCTGGTTTTTTTCCTGTGTTGATTCTGCTGGTTTTTCCATCCACCTGTTCTACATGCTCATTTCATTTCATTTAATCTGCTGGCCGTTGAAGCCTGTATGGTGCTTGTTAGTTGTGTACTTGAGTTAGTTTCACTTTCACAGATGCGGTTTAGATTGTGGTTTTAGTGAGTTATTAGTGTGTAGCTGTTGTGATCAGCGTTTAGCCGTTAGCATTTTGTTTATATGCATTTTGATCAAATTAAGCACATAGCTTTGCGGTCTCCATGGACAAACACTGGCAGTATAATGGGGCGTACTGATGAGCTCAGTGACTGTAAAAATGGCAGTCATAGGATGCCACCTCTGCTGTAAGTCAGTGGCTATGTTTACATGCAAATATTTTTGCCAATCCGATTGAATACAATCCGATTACAGATTCAGACTGAGGTGTTTATATGCACACTCTATTCAACGATTTGATGGAAAATCTTCGTTTACATGCTCACTACAAGTAATCCGATGCAAAATGACGCGCATGCGTGGAGTAGCGTTTAGAGTAAACGTTACCATGACAGCGAACATCACGTGAGGTCCAGTCCGCGTGAGATGAGTTTCCAGTTGGCGCGCTGGTGTTTTAATTGCTTTAAAATCATGTCAGACTCAGGAAAACGTGCTTCACATGTGCTTATAAAGGAAGCGGCGAGAGGAAGACGTCGTGTTCTGAGACTCATAAGATGGACGTCCGTCCCACCGCCGACCTTTAAAGATCAGAGCATAAACTTCGTCTCCTCTGCAGAGCCGTTTCTGCTCCGCCATGCTGAACGGTATAAACTTTCGCCTTGACGCGACGCACATGCGCAGAACATACTTACACGTTCCGATTGGAATGTAATCGGATTCAGGCGTTTACATGGCTATTATTCTTCTATTTAACGGATTATTTAGAAGTTTACCCACCTCGTTCAATCGGATATAAATTGTATTCCGAATGGCCTCAATCGGACTAGACTATTCCGATTGAGGTGTTTACATGGACGTGTTCTATTTCGATTGAGCTATTAGTCGGATTATTAACGGATTATCAGGCTGCATGTAGACGTGGCTAGTGTGTGAAATTTCTGTCCTGCTAGATCTGCCCCGGCAAATGTAAGTGCTTCACAAAATGGGCTTCCACGGCCAATGGACAATGCCAAACGGGGTGTAAAGCACACCACCATTTGACTCTGGTGCAGTGGAAACATATTCTGTGGAGTGACTAATCACGCTTCTCTATCTGGCAGTCTGATGGACGAGTCTGGTTTTGGCGAATGGCGAGAGAACATTACCTGCCTGACTGCATTGTGCCAACTGTACAGTTAGGTGCAGGAGGGGTAATGCTGTGGGGTTGTTTTCAGGGGTTGGCCTAGGGCCCTTAGTTCCAGTGGAGGGAAATCTTAATGCTTCAGCAGACCAAGACATTACAGACAACTATATGCTAACTTGTGGGAACAATTCTGTTCAAGCATGACTGAGCCCCAGTGCACAAAGCAAGGTCCATAAAGGCGTGGTTGGGTGAGTTTGGTGTGGAGGAACTTGACTGGCCCACACAGAGTCCTGACCTCAACCCCATCAAACAGATTGTGAACCAGGCCCTCTCGTCCAGCATCAGTGTCTGACCTCACAAATGCTCTTTTGGATGAATGGGCAACAATTCCCACAGACTCAGTCCAAAATCTTGTAGAAAGCTTCCCAGAACAGTGGAAGCTGTGATAGCTGCAATGGGGGGACTAACTCCATATTAATGCCTACAGATTTAGAATGGGATGTTATAAAAGCTCCTGTAGGTGTAATGTGCAGGTGTCCCAATACTATAGTGTATGTGCCCTCATATTGCTGCTGCAGCCTTTATGATCACAAACAAAGAACCAAAGACAGGTCAGTCATCCTGCCTCCATAATACAGCAGTACAGAAACATCACATTATTTATTTTAACCTTTTCAACTACTTGAGACCACCGGTGGTTCCAAAACGCACTTCGTCATATTCTTCATAACTGTCATATTTCATAAGCTACATTCAAAAGGTGGGTGTCATATGAGAGCTGTGACTGTCTTCTTTCCAGTCAAATAGATGGGTAATGTAATTTTAAACCCTTATAATAAAAGAAGCTGAACTCACAATTTTTTATTTCTACTGAAAGTTGACCCATTTTTCCACAAATCTGGGCTATAATCTATAAACAGATGGCGTCTCTTCAGTGATCTGCTCTGTAAAAATTATTTTTATAAAAAAATACAGAGAGTGTCTAAGATTTTTGGCTTTCAGCAGTAAATTAAGAAAATTTAATAAATAAATAAAATAAAAATTTACATTTATTTCATGCAGTTACTGAATAATTTGCCTTACGATTTGGTCATGTAAATTCAGATGGACAAACCAAAATATACCCTGGTGAATAAGAGGTAAAACTTGACAAAATCCTGTTGGTCACTGTCAGAAAAAGGTGCTGTATAAGTACACTTTTGTTCACCAATGTATTATATAAATATACCCTCAAAGGGACGGCACTGATCTTAAGGCTCGGTTGTGTTCCTTAAATGATTTTGGGGTACACTCCATTACTTCACTCTAAGGACTGATTTGGAGTCTAAATGATGTACACATGCATCATGGCAATATGTGTGTATAAGGTGCGAGACAGGGAAATGTCTGAGGGGGTATGGGACTGTTTGGGATTCACTGTTCTGGTTTAACATCTTACTGCTGATTATCACTTCAAACCTTAAACCTTCATGTATATTTTTAAAAATTCAGCTTAGATTTCAAACTTTTGGAATGTAGTCTGTCTGCCTGTCTGTGACTTGACCCGTGCTGTATGTTCTTGGATTAGCATCCTAACTGCCAAATGTATCCTGCCATCATTTGGCCCCCATTCATCCCAGATTTTAAAAAAGTAAAACTTTATAAATTTCATTTAACTCCCTGAAACACAATTCTTGTTTTCTCATTTATTATAATGAGACTTGCTTAAAACAACAAAAACAAATAAAACACAATATTTAAATACCAAAGCAAGCTTCACGGCAAAAGTCAGATCATACAAAAAAAAAATCTGTTTGGAGTACAAACTGTTCCTTAATACAATACTGACTAATATTGAAGTAATAACATCCTTATACTTTATATTTGGGCTTACAAAATCATTAACATAATTACACAACAATGAAAAAATTCTGTAAGTAATATTGCTGAGAAAACATTTGGCACAGGACACAGCCAGGATCAACATTAAACCACAGTAAAAGCTCTGAGATTTTTGGAATGTTCTCCCAAAATGGCAACACTGTTAGTACATCTCACAAAACAAGCTGATATTATAGCCAGTCTGAGCGTTTCTGAGCCAGTGAACAATGCATGGCAAGCCAGATATTTAATAACGAACTGGAACAACTGCTGCCACCAAAAGGATTTAAAAATATATGTCAGTAACCCAGAATGCAACATTTGCAGGCAAATATGTACACCACAGTGAAGGCAGAAGATCGAGAGACACATTTTCAGATCATGAAACCAGATTTAATGGGAGAAAAAAAATCATCAAACCTGGCAGCTGTGATGACGTTATTATCATCAGAATGAAATAAGTTTAGCTGAAACCAAGTCATGGGATAGCATGTTAACTTTGTAATCAGCCCTAAAAGAGATGGACAGTGTGAGTGAAGGGGTTAGCATGCTAACCCATAAATCCAAACTAAGGGTCTGTAATAGGGAGACTAGCCTGTCACTAAAACAGAGCATGAAAGATCCTAAGAACATTTTTTACATTTTCCTCTACAAGTGATTCAAGCCCACTGAGGTGAGTGTTCCTTGGTTCAGTAACAGCTAGCTGGGTGCTAATCTGTTTAATGACCAAAGAAGACACTAATAGCAGAGTTCAGTGTGCAAAACGGTTCAATACAAACACAATCTTGTCATGATTTTACTCTACTGAGAGCCAATGACATTATAGCTGTTTACACTATGCAATAAATATCTATTATATCTTTAATATCTGTTTCTAGAGCTCCTGTGAAAGACCATACAGAGAAAAAGAATGAAGCATTTAACAAAGAATTTAAGTTACATTTCAGTAGGGAAGAGTGTGGCACAACCTAACGTGGTAAAATGCAGCACAGATTTTTTAGATAGTTGTAGTCAAACTGGATCAAGTTGAATGTGCGTTTGGTCTCCCTCTCATATTCCCATAATCCTCAAACTCTCACCGCATTCTGACAAACATTCCTCCATACAGACTGTTTCCGTACCATAAATGTACCCCTTTATTATGTCTTTTTTGATTACTGAACTGTAGCACCATTTTGAAGCTTAAATAACTCACAGTGAGAGCCAGTCTTAAGTCCAGCCGTGTGGCAGGGCTGATTTTAACAGTGTCACAATTAATGCTCCCAAAGTAAACAATGAAAGAAATCCATACAACTACTACCACTACTACTACTACACACTAGAGATGTCATATAAATAAAATAGAATAATATTTTCTAATGCTAACATTTTGCTGTTGAACTTTGTGGTTTAAAATACCTTTGACAGGTTTTGACAACCTCTTTATACCAATGATATTTATTTAGAATTAATTGTGTTTGCATCAGTTTGCCAGATTTTTCTACCAATTGTTACAACCAGCCCTTCATCTGACAATTAACCCCATCTGTGGGCCAAAATGTGCCCCCTCATGTCTCGTTTGACTGAAATGTTCTGAAATAGCAGGTGCTGGAAACAAATGTTTTCATTTCTTACAGAGATGTGAATGTACAAAGAAAAATATTGAACTTGCTCAAATATTACAATTATTTTGCCAAAACCAAGATGTGTTAAGTTGTGCCTCACTCTACCCTACAAATCTGACATAAGTTGTCTTGAACAAAGCTACCACAGAAACAACTACAATGACAGTTGTTGGCTCTCAAGCTTGATTAGTTTAAGACCTCTTAATGCTTTAAAACAGGTTGTATGTGCTATTAATTTAACATAATGCACTGGATGCAAAGGTCAGAGATTTAATTATTTAATTTCCAGTCTGAACAGCCATTAAGTACATGCTATTTATTTTTCAGGTGTTAGTTCTGAGGATATCAGATAGAAGATAATTTATGTGCATAAGAAGAAAAAAAGAAGTTTCCAAACTGAAGATCAACAAATTAATTAAAGTTACAGATAAAATGGGTCTCCTAACAATCAAGCAAAACCTGGTAGACAACAAACACTGTCACCATCAGATAAAGAGTACTTAAAGCTTTCAGAAACTGTAATAAAGGAAAAGGGTGGACACAGTAAATACTGAAAAATGTTGTTTTATTTAGTGTTTTTTTTTTTTATAGTTTTCTGTTAAATATGTTTCTGCCTCTTTATGACACTGAAAAATGAGTAACTTGTACTTAATGGTCGTTTTGACTGGAGATTAAATAAGCTAAAGGTTGGACTTCTACGCAGTGCTGTAGATCAGCTGCTTATGTAACCTTTTGAAACATTTTCATCATCCTGAATTTGAAGGAGTGAGACTGTGCTAAAGCGTCTCCAAAAACATTCAAATGGTTGACCTGTAGCTGCTTCTAAGCCACATGATGGGATGGGAAGCAGTACTGTTTAAACATACTATTCCTACGTCCTGCTTCTTTAAATCCTGCATCTGTAAAATGCTCTCAGGCAAGGCTATAAGAAGGCACATAGAGGCAGAGAGTCATCTGAAGTCAAGTTAGCTGAAAACCGAATCAGTCTGGCTGAATGTATGTTTTATTAAGTGCTAAAGGCTTAAATTCATGGCCTAAATGACTGCAGTCTCTTTACCACCCTACTGTAGATATTACAGAATCGCTCTCATACCTTAATCTCATTACTTAAAGGCTGACACCGCATGTCCTGTTTGACATGGCATTACACCGTCCTCGTGTACTTACTGAAATGATAGAGGTAAGATGAGATAATATACATTAAGCTTTAGAGTCATCTTGTGATTTAGCAGCTTTTTGGCAATATTCTTATGGTGTATATACAAAGGGGAACAGAGACTATAATTACTATTCTTTACTGTAATGGTAAGTTCTACCTCATGTCGTATTACTCAGTGCACGAATTGTTAAAAAAAATAAAACAAAAATAATAAAAAGCGGACGTACACAGCAGTTAAACAATAGTCTGAATATACTGTATTTCTCAATTTGTCCATGTAAAAGAACCAATGATTTAATGATTTGACAGTTCAACATTAGGTTTGCGACGGTGTCGGCTACGCTCATTTTTGGTACCTGGTTTTTTGTTCTTTGCTCTGCATCTTTCCATCCACAGCTGAAGTGGATTTGACAGATTTAGAGAACATAGCACCACATCAGTGGCCCAGTTCCAATCTCAATTAAGACGAGCCCTTATATATCCCAGTCTCTTCCACTCAGATGTCTTATATTCTTGATGCAAGGTTATGAGATTTGGTGTTTTTAATGTAACAATCTTTAGTCACTGTTACTTACGGAGCTAAGCGTCAAACAGCTAAGCATCAAAGTGAAACAAATTAGCCTCGTTTTGGAGTTAGAATAAGCAAGGAAAGATGACAGAGGGCTTCATTTTACTGGAATGGAAAGGGCCCGAGCACGACGGTGTGACTTTCAGGTGGTTAGTAATTTTTGCTGCCTTGTCCTCAGTTCCACCTGCTGGGTTACGTCTCATTTGTTTTTGCCATTGAACACAGCCACAAACTCAGCTGCACACGGGCATGAAACAGTGGCTTTTTTTGTATAAACTGTACTGGTCAATCCCAGGTGCCTCTGAGATACCTTTGGGGTCCACAACAGTACTCCTCAGACCAGCGTCTCGGGCAGTGTGTCCGCATTGTCTGAAGACAGGAGCTGCCAGATTTGCCACCTGTCTCTTTGCCAGTCCTGCCACTCTGGGCTCAGGGGAGTCAGAGCGCCCCCTGGGGAGGAGGATGAGTTCTGAATGGCTTTCCCGCTCTGTTGGGGACAGTGCTTAGCTGAGGCCACCGGTGCATGAGACGTTGGGGAAATGGACGAAACTGTTAAAGCAGCTGACCTCAAGTGTCCGTAAGGGGGTGGAGGGGGGCGTGTGTCATTCCTATTGGCTGGTTTAGGGAAAATGGTGGGACTAGGAGTGCTGTGACTGCTTCCGACCGGGAGGTCCTCTGAGCTGCTGGACACCGACTGGCCATCGGGGTTGAGATTCAGACGGAGATGTCGCTGGCCGGACCGAGGGCTGCTGCACGCGCGATTCACTGTAGCATGCTGCCGACAGTCTGTCCCACCCAAAGAGGGCTGTGTCCGCACAAGCTTGGGGTCGCCTTGGTGACTGTCGATCCCCTCCTGCGAGCTGCGGGAGCTCCCCTCGGACATGTTGCCATAGGAACCTGTAACAACAAACCAACATCCACTTCCATTCTTAGCTCATACTGATCGTGAGGCACTGGATGATCTTAGGGTGGAACACAAGAACACAGTGCTATCCATGATTAACTGGACAGCGATAGAGTTGTTGTGGTTTTGCTGTAACATGTTGAATGTGAACTTCTAAGAGCACTGACAACTATATTGGGTGAACCAAATATGAATCAGATGCATAGCTCCATAAATAACTGGCAGACTTAGCCATATGTAGTTGGGCAAAGAGGCCATAAGCAATTACACAAAGAAAACACATTCATGTTTCAACCTAAATATAATATATAAATATTGCTGCTGTCAGAACAAAACCTTGAATCTCCAAAATGGTCACTTTACAGGAGAAGAAAAAACGTACTTTACTTTAAATGTAAGACAATGGAGCCAGACTTCTTTCCAAGTCATTCTAGGTCAATTCTTTTGGTCCATAAATCATGAAATCTACACACAATGTAAAAGGCAACAGAAAAATGAAAAATGGAGATGCAAGGTTTTGTTCCGACAGCAGCGATGTAATATAAATATATTTAGTACATTATCAAGAGCATCAGGCCTCATTTCAGAAAAAAATCACTGAGGGTGCATCAGAAATAAACACTAGGAAAATGCATGTTATAAAATAATAATAATAAAAATGGAGCATGTCCACGATAGTAAGCCTGCTAGCTAAGTTTGATTTATTTCCCCGACTGCAGCAATTGCAGTACAATACACCACTTGCAGTGATACATACTACGTTCTATGTACTTAAAAGGTTCTGTGCATGCTCTGCTGCTGTTTGTAGGTATGAGTTAGCCTGTTGAAATGCATTTTCCCCAAAGCTCCACTGAAGGAGCAAAAAACCTAAACTGAAACCCCATGGAACCCAGTGTGAAGAACATTCCTCTGTATTGCTGTTATAATCTTCACGGCTGCTTTAGTAGAATATATCGGGCCGCTGTCCTACTACATGGTCCAGCTTCATCTCAGTGAGGGTAAGTGATCATATTCCACTCAGAGGTGTAAGTAACGAATTACATTTACTCCTGTTACTATAATTGAGTACAGTTTTCCCTGTAACGTAATCGGTAAATCATAGTACTTTTACTCGTATTTGAGTTATTTTTTAATAAAATACTTTTACTTTGCTACTTTAATTTTCATAACGTTACAGAGTAAAAATAAATTATAAGCGTATCAGCTCAGACACCAATACGAACCAAGGGCGGTTAAAATTAAAAGATTCACCAATCAAAAAACAGCAGCTCCGGCAGGAAAAACAGTACAGAGATGTCCTGTTTAGTGAAGAAGGACAGAGGAGAACTGAACCAGCACACACGAAACCTGCTGAGATCTGCTTTCACAACTCGACTCCAGCCTGAGGCAGCGTTAACCGAGCTAGCTGATCCGAGCTAAACAGGTACCGTGTTTCTTCTTTCTTTATAATGATTCTGTTTATTACATTGGAAATCTGCTGCGTATATTTTATTACAGTGTCTGTCAGACACTTTAGTTAACAGGTGTCGCCCACAGGTTACCGTTTATACAGCCTAGTTTAGCTGCTGTTTTGGAGATGAAGACAAGAAATCTAGTGTAATACAGGATCTTTATCAACTCTGAGCAGTGATTCTGTTGCGCTGTCATTGACAGGCCTGATCTGATCCCTCCCCCCCTGCCCTCTCTCTCTCTCTCCCTCTCTCTGCCTTGGTGTTTGTCTTTAACTGTGAGAGGCTGTGTAGCTGTTTAACTGTGAAAAATGCAGTAACAATGTCTGATTCTGTATGAAGTGATCAGCATGATTAGTGAAATAAATCAATGCTGGGTAAGTTGCTGATGTTGCTGCTGATGTTAATGGTGTAAATGTTCTGAACAGATATCTGTGAAAATATACAGTTTGAAGGCTGTGAGAGGTTCACACCTATTAACGTAAGCTAGAGTCCAGGGAGCTGATGGGCAGCAGGACTGTCACTAAAATCACATTATTAATTAAGCAATTTACTCTTAATTTTGACTCTTTTTTTCTCTTAAATGTACTTATTGAAACAGTAACATCCTCTGCACAGTCTTTCAGGATTCTGAAATACTTTACTGGAAACAGATAAACTAGAACATCTTATATAATCGTCTAACCATGAAATGCATGCAGTGTAATGTTAACCTCATTCCTTACACAGTTCACAGAAAACTGTGTAAATATTCAGTAGCAGTGCGAACTGTGATCAGTCTCAGCTCTCAGAACTTTAGCTTCAGTGTTTTTCTGTACGGATTATTTCCAGTAATGTAGCCGAGTCAGCTCAGAAATATGTTCAGGTTGTGACAGTGGAAATACAACAAAAGTAACTAAGTAACTCAGTACTTAAGTAGTTTTTCAGTGAACTACTTATTTACTCTTACTTGAGTAATTTTATTTACTAATACTTTTACTTGTACTTGAGTAAATTGTCACTACAGTAACAGTACTTGTACTTGACTAGGGATTTTCAGTACTCTTTACAACTCTGATTCCACTGGCAGCAATCCATGCCTTTGCCACCATGTTTCACAGGTGAGGTGATATGCTGAGGATCATAATCAGTCTCTTTTGTTCCTTCAGTTTCCTCATTCCATCACTGCGCTGCAGGTTAATCTTTGTCTCACTTGTCCATCATACTCTACAGTCCTTGTTATCTACTTTTTATTAAACTATAACCTCACCTTTCTGTTCTTGTGGCTTATTAATGATTTGCACCTTGGTAAACGCTCTGAGATAAAGCCGGCACATTCTTCACTTTGTAGTAGTCTTAAGCACATTCTGTTGTCTTTGATCTATTCAGCAGTTTTTTGTTAAAAGTATTCTTCTTCTGAAGGCTGTGTGCTATTACTAACCTCACTACTGCATTCCTGCTTTACTGGCACTGACAGGTCTTTGGTCCCAGTCTCAACAACAGTCAGTTAATATGCGGTAGAGTGAATTTTCCACTGTCTGCTGGGGGTTTCACAGAGTGAAACATGATAGATGAATTCCAGATCAAGGTTACGCATGTGGACATTGCTTTGGACTGCACTCATCTACTCGAGCATCTAAAATTCCTCCAGTAGGGGGAGCTATAAGCATTCAAGTCATGTTTGTCATATGAAGAGAAGAAACAGGAGCTCACAAATGAGGAGCATATAATCGGTAATTACAATTTTTTAAACAAGAAAACACTGTCATATTTTAGATACTTATCAAAATTGTTATTTGCATATCACCCTGTCCAAGTGGACTATATATAAAAAAGGATCTAATTCCAACACAGTCCACAGAATATGTACATACTGCCAAAGATATGTACTTACTGACAATCTGCTCTTTATAGTTATTCTATTGTATTTGTATTGTATTAAAGTATGGCTGAAAAAAGCTGACAAATAGAGCCAACCCAACTATTACCTATTACCTCCATCCAGTTGCTCATGAACTGTAGCTAATATTACATGAAAGCTACTCATGAATGAATGTCTGATTCAGATTAGGCTCAAATTACTCTTTTGCTTGCGCAGTACCTGTATAGGTTTGTTCTTTCAGCCCTGGCTTCAGCGTTGAGTGCCATGCGCCCCAGATGTTGGCATGCTCCTCTGAAATATCTGAAAGAATAAGGATGGATAAAATATTAATATATATATTCTGAACAGATAGCTTCTTATAAATCAAGTGATTCAAGACTGCTTGGTCTCACCCTTTGTTGGGGACCAGGGGTTTGAGACGGTGTCCCTGGTGCGGCCTGTGACTTGGCCCACCAGGGTGTACTGTTCCGGGACGCGGAAGAGTCGCTCAGTGCTAAGGGCTCCTCCAGCACCACTGCCACTGCTGCTAACTCCATCTCCTCCCCTCCTCTCAGACATCACAGGGGAGTTATTGTCATAGGGAGACAACTCACCACTTGACACCTTGTTGGAGTCACTGGATGATCTCCGTTCACTCAGAGAGAAGGTGGTCCCTGAATTTAACAAATCTGGACTCCTGAAGAAGAAAGAATGAGGAGGGGAGGTGTAAAAACACATGAGATACTCATAACTGAAGACCTGCAGCAACTGTATCTGACAGGGATCCATATGTTGGCCTAAACATCTTAAACAGTGAGTTGCATATTAGTTTCCAAGCAGTTACTGAATAAAGAATAAGTAATCTTACAGGATAGTTTCACAGATTTTTCCCCAAATTTATGCATAATTAAATCAAGATAGGTGACCCTTTTTAATGCTTCTAAAAGCTACCTCACAGGAAGCTATTACGAATACATTGCCTAACGCCTCATACATTGTTTTACGGTAGTTTTGAGATAAGGTTTTAGCCTAAAACCAGGATTTGTAAGATAAAATTTTACTAAAAGAAAACATTTTGGCATCTTTTAAACTGATCACTATTTTACCTTTACATATTTTACTATTACAAATAAATGAAGACAAGTGTAGACTTGCGGATAGTTTTGGATAACAAATAAATTGGCTATATTTGCATTGTAGACATGTAATCTCCTGATTTGTTGAGTTTCTTTGAAATGCACCATTTCACACAAAAACCCTGGATTACTTTATTTACATCTGAATGACTGAACTTTGCAGAAATTTTGAAAATGCTATTTACACTATTCCTGTCACTGTGTTCACTAATGGCCACCAGAGGGCGATACACATCCACATATTTGCAGTTACCTTTCTGAATAGGTGTAATCCAACTCATCCATTCTACTGTAACATATGGCCAAAGGCGTCACAGCTACTTTGAGTATGTACATATTCTGTTTATATACATATCTGTTTTTTTAGGTGTTTTAGAACTGTGCACTCACTGTGATGCCTTCCGTCGTAGTAGGTAGTCTACCACATCAGGATCGGTCTCCAACAAGCTCATTAGCACCTCATTTTGCAGATCAGGAGACACCTGCAAATGCAAATAAAGCTATAATGAAATCAAGTACTCTAAGATCATGCACTTTTAGAAGCATGCAGCTGCATCGGCAATGACTCATTCTCAGAGCATCTGTTACTGACAGCAACACAATAAAACATCGTTTTGTTAAGACATACAGTGCTGTTCAAAAGTCAGAGACCAAACTTTCATTTAATTTCCAGTCAAAATGGCCATTGAGCACAAGTTATTCGTTTTTTTAGGAAGAAAGTAGAGAACAAATATTTAACAGAAAATTAGCCCCAAAAACTAAACATAATATTACATTTTTCAGAAATGTTTTTTTCTCAGTATCAGCTTCTTAACAGCTACACATCCTTTCAGCCTCATAGTGTTGAACTGTCTCACAGTGGAAGGATGAACAGAAACACCTGTGGATTTTTTCAGATCTGAATCAAGAGTGGAGCTTGATTTTCTCCTCTCTCTCAAAGATGAAAGTCTCAAGTTCTGCTTATTTGAAGGTGACAGTTCTACCAGGTCTTGCATGGTCATCAGGAGAGCCATTTTCTCTGTAGCTTTTAATCACTTTTAACTACAGTTTTGGAAATTCCTGTTTCTCCCTTATTTTCCTTTGATGTTCCTCACTTGAATGCACTTGAGAAAGAAATTTGGAGGGCAACTAAGGTGTGGTTGGGTAGTTGCTTGTGTGAATGTTTGGGTCCCTTTGAAGCAGAACATAATGTCAATGACTCCTTTGGGAACAGATGTGTTGGGAGAACACTAACTTGTTGCTTTTAAAACTGGAAGAATGGAAAAGTTAAAAAAATGTAATACTTTGTACTTGGCTGTTTGTAAAGGGTGGTCTTTGAATGTTGCACAGTACTGTATAAAAATATGTATAATACATAAGCTACAACTTCTGCAACATATTCTCTAGAGTCCCACAATGGTTCTGGTCGACTCTTAAAGAAAACAGAGTGCAAAGAGTGAAAAGAAAGGGCAGGAGATTTAACCCCTAAAGCCCACTGGCACCGGCTAAAACCTCTCTCTTCACATGCTGGGCCTCTCTGTTAAGCCACTCTGTTCAGGCTCAAATCAGACCAGCTCTGCCACACACAGCACTGTTTGACTTCTACAAGATATGTCTATTGTCTGATAGAGCCTTTAACTGGAGCAGTCTCGTCGACTTGGATTTCAAAAGGCTGATGAAGAGATAGCTGGGATGAGTGAGAGAGAGAGACAGAGACTAGCAAACACTCAATTCTCCCAATCAGGGTTTTTACAGGCATCTATTGTAGCCATGCATGTTAGATGATAGGGGTGTAACAATGCATTGTGACATTGATGTTGCAATGCCAAACTGTGACAGTGTGCATCAACAACTCACTTTAGCAATCCTTCCACCTCCCATCTCTAGCGTTGTTTCTAAGTTGTGCAACAACTTGATAGTATTTTTTTTCATTCATTTTGTTGAAAATACTGTAATAATACTGAATCATGAACCTAGTACCGTAAATTGAATCATGGGCTGAGTGTTTCGATACACTCTTATTAGATGAACATTAGAATGAAAGTCTATCAGCAAGATTAACCCCTAAAAGTCATAGTTAACACACAAAAAGTGGAAATTGATAGTAATTATTTCTCAGTCATGGCTCATGCAGAGAAATTCTGTCACTTGAGTTCATAAGCAGAACAGTCAATATTTTATTTATTTGTGCGAACAGTTTTGTTTTGAAGAAAGAAAAGCTTTATATTTTTTAAATAAAAGAACGATAACAACTCTAGACTTCTAGGTGTCAATCCTGATCTTTTAAAGCTTTTCCTGGAGATTACAGTCTACATCAAACCCAATTACTCTTTCAGAACCAAACACCCTTCCCAATACCACCAGTCATGAACTGCTCTCCGTTTTATTCCTTACCATGAAGAGATCCTCAAAGGTGGCGATCATCCTCTGCACCACGGCGATGACGGCAGTGGATTCCTCAGCCCGAGCGGAGCTTTGAACACTGAACTCTTTGTCTGAGCTCTTCTGTTTGTGCAGCAGGTTTGGCCCAAAGATGGTGGCTAAGTTTATGGATGTCATCTTGTTGCCTGTCACCTGTGGACAGATTCATATAAAACAGAGTGGAACTCGGCACATAAACAGAAACTGTGCACTAAAATAAGCAGAAAATGGCATATTTAGATGTGTTCTCTGTAGAGGATGTGTTAACTTATTTTCACTTAAAAAATAAAAACTTTTGCATATGTCTGTGAATGCTACTAAACTCTACCAATTCACAGCTAAAAATATCTCCTTTGATTTACTCCCAATAATCTCCTTAACCAGCACCGCTGGCTAAGCTTTACTTCCTCTGACCAAATATCCCATCACCCCCCTACCCCGTCGCAGCGGGAACGCAAGTGTGATAAAAGTGCTGATCAGTGTTCCCCTCCCGAGCGTGAAATGAGGCCAGCTTCCTGTGGCCGATGGCAGATAGGGGCAGAGAGGCGTGTGGGAAAGTATAGTGGGCCAAGCCCAGCACGCTGCTCTGGGAGTGAGGCGCTACGAGGACAGACCCAGCCTACAAGACCATGAGTCTAGATTAGGTCCACTTCTCTTCACAGGTTAGCTTTAAGCTACAGCTGCACAAGATTTAGATAATAATGGTACATACTACAAATTCATCATACATTCTATTGAACTTCCAAAAATGGAAATCATTCCATATTTTTCTGTACCGTGATGTTTCAAAGTGAAACAGGGTGTCACAGAGGGTCTCTGAGGTAGCTGAGCACTTTGTCTTAATGACAGGTGGGCGTGGTGGGGGAATGCGGGTGAAACACTATATTACTGGTTAATATTAGTTTAGTAGACACATTGCAGGCTCAAAATAACAGAAGAAAACAGTGTTTTTAAAGTTTAAAAAATAAGTAAATATTCCACTGTGTTCACTGTGGGGTCAGAATTGTTCACTGTGGTGATGACAGGAACCAGACATCTGAACTGTTCAACGCTTATAAGACCTCCTACACAAAAAATATGCTGCAAAATGTCTGAGACATTGTTTTATGATAGATTTCAGAGAAAGTTTTGCCCTTAAACTGCAAAACAGTACCCAAAGATTAGATTTACCACTACTTTATCATCAATGTTGTATATAAAAATTTAGAAGACGTGCAGATTCACTGGTGGTTTTTGATAGTATGTAAAATGGCAATATTTATGTTGTAGACATTCAAGACAAAAATGGACATCTAGTTTAACCAAAGAACTTTTTTCCAAAATATTCCATTGGTTTGCAGTGATGTAATTCTTATTCTAGTGTTCACACTCTTTGTGGATGACCATGCCTTACAATGACCAGTTCTTTATTAATTACAACCTCCTTATTTTACACACCTAATATAATTAACCTTATGAAGCCAATGCAAAATTCTGCTGTTTAATCTGCTTTTCCCATTGATCACGTGTCTTCTCAATGCTGTCGCTTCCTTTATTTCATATGTAAAGAACGTGCTCGAACATGGCCAAAAGATCTTAGACTTCAATGTATTTTGTCTCACAAACTACCTTTTGGAACAAGAAAATACATAACAGCCGTGTTTCACCATTAATCTGATTAAACAAATCAATCCTGATCCAAACTGCACCCTATATAAGTTCAGGCAATCACTTGGGGGGGAAAACACTGTGTGTCTAGCAACAACGGAAACTTGAATGTGAGAATCACAAGCATAACTTTTATCTTGTAGTGTATATTTAAATCCATGGGGTAAATTTAAATCTGAGAAATCATGGTGCTCTTGTTTTCAGACTCTGCCACTGATTTTACAAATGACTTTGAAAATGCATGGGTTCAGTTCATCGCCATGGCACAAATTAATTTTTATAACAGCTGGATAAGCTGTGGATAACAGATGGTGCTTAATGATTCTCTTCTAATGCCCGAAAATGATTTATGATGGTTAATGATCAGTACTTGAAAGCAGAAGATTCTAAGCTAGACCTGTTTTCCTCGTCGGAGCAGCCTACGGACTGAAATCAAGCATATTTACTCAAAGCTATATGTGGGCAGCCTGAGCAAATCACCCTAATTAGCCATGCCATTTAACACTTTTTAATACTACATCCCTTTTTACACATGTAGGACAATGCAAGCTATACTAATCCTTGATAGCCTATGAAGTGCGAAACAACCCAAATCTAGATGCTAATGCTGGATCAACAGATCTTGCTAAGCTACTTATTAGTGCTTAGCAACTGACCTCAAAATTGTAAAGTATTGGGACCATTCAAGCATTACTGAGATCCTTACACATAAATAGAGGACTAACAGGCTCACCAACATTAATACGAATGCATGGCACTGGGTTTTTTCTTGTAAAGCCAACATTGATATGTTGTTCCCCCGCTTGCTCCAAAAATTACAGCTCGTTAGGGGCCCCTGCACTTAAATATACAGATATAAGAAGAGGAACTTGTAATGATTAGATCTGTATCCCACCTCCTGTCCATCTTTGTCATATGCATCATTGGCATGCTGAGCCACTGTGTGCAGAAACTCCAGCAGCCGGTGGAGGGTGTCACTGTTACAGGGCGGCAACAGGTACACTAGCAGCTGTGTGGCTATCTGCTGGTCTTCAGGCTCCATCACTGTTAATGAGAACACAATTGTAAGCAACGTTGAGCTGACTAAGATGTACTACTAGACATTCTGTTCTAACTAGTGTTGCACTAAGAACGATACCATATCAGTATCTGAGCCAATACTGGCGCTTAAATACTGTATCGTTTTGGCAAAAGAGAATACCGATATCACAAAGCTGTTTCAAACGCGCATGCGTCGATACCGGCACACACTTGAGGATCAGGGTCAGAAGATGGAGCTTAACTGAAAGAAACAACACCTTGGTGGTGTGGAATGACAAGCAGCAGATAAAATGCTCATTGCAAATGTAACTGTAATGCCAAAATTTCAAGGGTAGGCACTAGAAGTGGGCAGTATACCTGAGGTATTAGCCATGCACACTGATATAAGCACTGATAATGCAGTGTGCAAACTGGGTAGTCAGGGATTTTTCAGTAATTTCTCATCTCCCTATGTGTAGTCAGTTGCAGTCTGAGTTAATCTTAGTACAGGGTCTTATCAGGGAGCAAACAATAGAGAGGTATATGGGAGGAACAACCGGTCTTTTGGATATGAAACAACACTGAGCACTGTTTTTGTCAGGCCCGGAGAAGCAGCTGTACGCTTACGTGTACACACCACAGGTTTATCTATACGTTGCTTAGCCTTGTTTTTAATATTTTGAATAATTTAAAATTATGCCTAGGGATATTCATTCAAGCTTAGTATTTTATGTTTGTGACTCAGAACACGTTTTTAGCTAAACTAAAATGTTTTAAAAATTGAACTGTATAAATATTAGGATGTATAAGCATCTGTTGAGTGGTTATGTTTGAGTTACTAGAGGTAAGGGAAAAAATTGTATTGGTTCTTCCAAAGTTCTTACTACAGTCACGAGCCTCACACAGCCAAACACCTTCTATCAGAGCATAACTGACAGATTTTTACTCTCAACTCTGAGAGAATCAAGTCTGCTGGATTTCACAATTTTACAGGAGGGGCTGTTCATCTCAAAACAGGTCAGGAGCTGAAATCACAAAAGCTTTTAAAAGAATAAAATCATTTTTGCAAGTGAAATCATCTTAAATGTGGTTGATACATCTAGTATTTCTCATTTTGAAATTGTTGTAAGAATACACAAAAGGTTGTGTAGCTAATTTCAATACATTTTTACTTGTTTTAAGTAATTTTATCTAGTTCAATTGTCTTTTAATTGTCTTTTCAATCGGCAGATAATTGCGCTTGTTTCAAGCATTGTTTCTTTAATTATTTCAGATGAACACTGAGAAATTCATAGTAATGTTAAATGCAATTCTCAAAAATAAATTCTTACATATAGTTTCAGATAGCCTTATTTATTGTATTAAGTGAGCTCTTGGGTTATTTATCATGCAGCCTTGACTAGATAGCATGATTACCGTAAACAGCATGAGACACATGGAGCTGGCTTTCACCATTATGCTAAAGCTTGTAAGACAACATAAACATTAACTACAAAACTAGAGAACATAACATAAACACATCTTTGTTAGCTAGCAAGCTAGCCTGCCAGCTTCAGCAGCGTCCGAGCAAATGCGTTGTCTTAACTGTGGCTAGAGCTTTAGTTCTTAGCTCCCTCAGTCTAAGACAAATATGCGGCTATCATTAGATTGTTTTTTAAGGCACTTTCAGCAGTCTAGCCCCAGTTCTATTCTGCAGTTCTCTCTTTACTAAGAGGCTAAGAAAAGGCTCAAGCTGGGTATGTTGTCTGAATGTTGTGATAAGGTTTTACTCACACATGGTGTTGATGAAGGCAGTGTAGAGCTCCTTGGTGAGGAGTGGGTCAGGCATGTCCCTCAGGAATTCCTTCAGCAAGGCAGCCACGTCATGGACACTGTGCTCCTCATCCAGCTGCACGTCCACACCCCGATCAAACTCCTCCCGCAGCTGCGGCAAAGAGACATGCATATTAATGCAATTACGCTCAGATGGAAACGTCTAAACACTGAGACTGAATCCAGGCATGTAGTGTCCACATGTGCAAGTTCACGAATAAAAACACATCAATACCGCCACAGATGAAGACATGCATTTTTAGATGATTAAACATATGCACAGGCACAGTAATGGCTTTCTCTGCATGTGTTTTTACTCATCTGTGTTTTTTTTCCATTCTCTCTGTCACTGTCTTTTAGGGCCACTGTTTCTTAATGAAGCCTCCTCAGCAAGCACATTTTGGTAAAACTTTACTTGAACCCTGACTCATAACATAGACATAACCAAGTCTTATGTCATATGCTGTCATGAGTTGTCATGACAGATTTTATTCAGTAATATAAGTGCCATGACAGCGTATGTCATACACCAGTTTTTGCTAAGTGACATGAAACATTGACATCTGTCATAACAATCACTGGTAATGGTCAGAGGTTTGGACTGGAGTCATATGACTTGGACTCGAGTCCGACTCGACAAAATCACTCGACTTTGACTTGAGCCTCATGACTTGAGACACAAAGTGGAAGACACGTAGAGAGGAGTCTGACTGCAGACAGGACGCTACACAGCTGTTTACTTTTCTTGTGAAAGGATTTGTTTCCTGTTGTTAATCTGATGTACAACAGCATCCTCAAATGTCTGTTACTGTGCTGATGTTAGGCTTATTTTATTTCAGAAGACAAGTGAAGCGTTAGAATTCAAGTTCGCCTCCATTAACTAGAAACAAGCAAAGCGTCAATAGCATCAATAAGCCCTCATTCAGTGCTTCGACTCTTAAACGTACCAGGCGAAGTGACCGTTTCCCTCATGGTAGCAAAACAAACGAAAGGCAGCTCTCTCTACATGACCGATTTTAACAGCTTCTGCAGTTAAAAATGCAACATTTACACAAAACTTAAATTTACTTTTTATTCGCCAGCTTCATAATCGAAATTGCCATTCAACTTTAAATTGGTGCAGCAATTAGGGGCCAGAACGTAACTGCTGCACCATTTAAAATTTTAATAATAAGCTGGCTAATAAAAACTTCAGCTTCATATATTTTCCATCATTTTGCTGTTTTTTCTGCTAAGTTTGTTCAGCTCAGTCATTTTGGTTTCTATCGTTGTCTAACTTCAGTTCAAACTAGCGGCTGTTTTTAGTTTAATGAGCTAGTTTTAGTGCTGAGCTGGTTTTGATTTTAATCCTATGTGTCCAATGTTCCCAAAAATGATCACGTTATCTCCAAATATCATTTTTAAATAAGATTAATAGTACTTCTTTTTCAAAGAAAAAAAAATATTTTTAATGTGTAGTTGCACTACTCTTGTATACCATTATGTCAGTGATGGTTATCTGTGTACCATGGATTTTGTATTTTATTTAGACAGGTGATAATACTAATGTACAGCCACACACTACTGACATGCTGTCATTAAAATACTGTGTTACTGTTACCATCATTTTTGGTGTCCAGTGTTGAAATAGCCTTAATTAGCTGAAGAACGCATACTGACTTGTTTAGGACAAAGATTAGGACTTGAGACTCAACCTGAGACCCTCCTGTACTGACTTGGGACTTGAATTGAGACTAGACTGTCTTGACTTGGGACTTGTTACTTGCAGCTCAGCAACTTGTTCCCATCTCTGGTAATGGTAACATGACAAGGTTATACTTGTCATAATGTATCATGACAGCTCATGACAGCATGTCCATGGCATGGTTATGGCAATGCTATGTAGCAGGATTCAAGTAAAGGGTTACCCACATTTCAAAATGATGAACAAAGTTGTAGATGATACTAAATATAACAGAAGTTATAATATTTATAGAAGTTATAATAAACCATGTTTAAAAAGTATTTAATATTTAAAAATTCTCTAGGCAAGGCAAAAAAAAAAAAGTAAATAGATGTTGCTAGATGAATGCTTTGGTATTCTAGGTGGTTGCTTGTTTGTTGGTAGGATATTGCTAGGTGGTTGCTATAGTATTTTAGATGGAGGACAAAATAAAGGTTAGTGAAAAAGTACAAGGAGGCTGAGTGGTTTGAATTGTTTACTGCATGGCTACTTGCTGAAATGTGAGGAATTCCCCTTTAAGAGTTGAGAGAGTGACTAGAGGCTAGAATTCATGCTTTGATAATCTAAGAATGTGCATGGCTTAGCTAAGTCCAGTGGAGTCATGGACAGTGGACACCTTGAACAAGCTGAGGAAGCAGAACGAACACCATGGTTTACTGCTTGTTCAACTGATAAGAACATTCTACACACAGATTACAAAGGCCTTGATCTTTTCATAGCAAAGCAGTCAAATTGTTTTGTTCCTCTTTGAGTATTTTTGTGAGAAATGGAAATTGACTATAAAGTAATAAAACATGTTATGTAAATTAACATAACACTCACAGTGTGTGCTGTGACGCATGTGTGTATCATATTTTGCTTTTTTAATCATTTTTTCCTTGTTCCTTGGTAGGTCTTTCCCAAAAAACACATGCTGTGTGACCTTTTGTAAAGGCGTCTCTCCCACCACTAGAATTCATCCAACAGGTTCTACTCTCAGCATTACTGCTTCCTTTGCAATCTGATTCTGATGCACACTGAGACTGCGTGATACTTGTTTACTTATTGTGGAATAAAGCCGCTGTTTGCTCTAAGCTGGTGTTTTTCCAGAGTACTGAATGTGCGTCAAGCTGAAGAGGACTGTAATTTTCCAAGGGAAAGGGACACATTTGCTTTGGCTAATGTGAACTCCTGAAATGCGACCCTTCATTGGGAAAGCAACTTGTTGACAAAAACTGTTTTTCAGAAAAAAAGTACCATTCACTGACGAGACAAGCTGGCAGTGCTGTGAATGAAAGATAAAATCGGCCATTGTTGTGTTGTAGAATTGCAAAATGAGTGGCGAGAGGAAAGCCGTCATAGGGTTATGTTTTCTTAGCAAAAAAAAGGCATGGCACTCTCACCAGCTTCACTCACTCTCTCTCACATGAAAACCTTTGTTTTCAGTCAAAACAACTTTGTGATTAAGAAATGATTATAATGTCTATCTAGACCTTCCACCAGATTCACATACTCTGAACAAGTATTGCACTGACTTACTCGACTCTCAAGTCAGATAAAGTGGCAAAAAAAAACAAAAAAAAAAACAACAGAACACACGTAGAAAGGTGCGGTTCCTAAACAAAATGCAGTCTGATTCCCAGGGAATTGTTATTGCTAGGGTGTTGTTAATGTTTGCTATGGTTATTTTGGGTGGTTGTTAAGTGGTTGCTAGATTGTTCCACGGGCACTGCTAGATGGTTGCTAGGGTGTTGCTAAGCAGTTCATATGTCCTCCCAGGTGGTTGCTAACATTCTACCAAAACCTGGACCTAATATTCAGGGGCTGTCTTGTTGATGATTTCTGCAGGATGAGTAAGCAGACAAATATCTGGAATAAAAGTTAAATAAACACAGTGTTGCACATTGCACAATCACTAATTACAGTGTGATGTTTATCAACTTCACAGAATTCTTGAATACAACATCTGAAGATATGTTCTGGTGAATAGTTTGTCATATTTAAATCCTTATTTTATTATTATTTTATGTAAAGTGAAAGAAAAGCTTTGACTGGTCGTATATGTCATAATCTTTCCATGTGGAAAGAATGTACACTACTTGATCAAGTTCATTCAATGTCACTTTTTGCAGTATGCAGTACGGCTAAAATGAGCATCTCATGAAAGAACATCCCAAAGAGCATATCCAAGAGACAAATGTCTTCTTTCCAATGCTACAGAAAGACAATACGCATCTATGGAAAAGATCACACAATAGATAGCAAGGCTGCAATCCCATCAAGGCAAACCACTTCAGAGAAGACCCAATAAACCAAGACTTAAAAAAGCCTAGCATCACCCAGAGACACCTCAGAGTAGCAGAGTAATTGTTCCAAAGACAAGAGCACTTTAGAAGACAAAAGGCTGCGTTGATTACTTCAAATGACATTGAGTTAATCCTGCTTATCATTAAGAAGATCCAAGGTGAATTCGATTATATAACCCCCTCTTCGTAAACACGGCCCCACTTCATAAAGCTTTCATTTACCACTTCAGTGCGAGAGGCTGGAATATAAATGCATGAGAATCGGTGGAACACTGACACTTCATGATGCATCGTGTGGTGTGGAGTGGGAAGTGTGTTTACACTCCTACCTGCCTCACTCTCTTCTTCGAGCTGCCCACTCTGAAGATCCCTACCGTTTGCAGACCTACATGAAAGAAAGTACAGTTCAACCATCTGTACCTGATTTCGGTTTACCACATAACTCACGTGTTGAGAAGTTTATTTGCCCGAGTTTTACAGCCTACTGCTTCATGCACAATTGCAGAATTTCTACCACACATACCGTACTTCTCAAGGTGCTGGCAGCAGCTGTCCACCACGCGTGGCACCTGCCTGTAGATGGGGTTCAGACTCAGCCTCTTATCCCGATGCTTCTCCTTCTTGCTAGGTGTCTCGGCCGGCAGGGACAGCTGCAGGGCCTCCAGCAGACGAGACTGGTTATCGTCCAAGTCGGTGATGGAGTCCACTGACATGCCACCCTGCCAAAGACATTGCAGTCATCGTTTACATGGGTTACAGTGAGTTTTGTGTTCAAGAAATTGCACCCTCCTGCCAAATTCAAGGACTTTAATTCCTCTATGGCCATTTTATTCTGACTGATGTAACCACAAAGACCCTATTCAGGTCTGAATCAAGTTTATAAACTTAACAGTTTGTAAAATATACATGATTTTCCTCTCTTAATTGCACCTTATTGCTTACACAATAATATAGGAATCATCTCAGTATTGGCAGATGATTTCTAAAAAAAAGATTCAAATTGGACAGATGTTTAGATTTGGCTGATATTTCAAACTTTGCTGATGTATTTATTGTACTCCAGAAGAGATGAATGGTTAGGTGATGCTAGGCTACTGTGGTAAAATGTCTGGATTTTATTCATTTTACTGCATTTGTAACCTTACCGAGGTAAAACATTCCTCTGCAAAGCCAATCCAGATAGATTTAGTCCCAATTTATATATTTTATAAATGTTTATGCATCGAAAAAAATATCAGACATTGGCCCACAATTTCCATATTGGTGCATCCCTAATATGTAAGGACATGTGGAAGTACGGTTGTCCTTCTCTCAACAAGTTATGTAAAATGACGAATACAGCTTGGCTCACCCTCCTGCGAGCGCGGGGTGCTGCTTCTGGTGTGTTAGGCGAGGTGGACTCATTAGCAGTCTCTGAAGTGGAGCTGAGGGACGAGTTGCTGCTGGAGAGCTCCTTGGTGGGCCGCTTAGTGGCAAACTGCAGGATGGAGGAGACAAGGTCACTGGAGTCTTTGTGCTCCTCGCGGGGGATGGGATCCAGCCGCTGACCCTCCTGACGCTGCCTGTGCGTCCGGTCGTTGGCAATCACCTGTGACAGGGAGATGCCAAAGGCCTGGGGTGCGTTGTCTGAGAGGAAAACAGAAAGTTTGGAAAGATTCAGTTAATCTGCAGGTGCCAAACCCCATGTTTGTCCATGGTTATATAATATAAGGTGCTTCAGTTTGATGAAATAACAGCAAATTCGTTATCTGAAGCTTCACTCCCATTCATTTTCAATGTGGAGTAGCAGAAAAATGTGTGAGGAATTGGTTTCAGCTGATCACAAACAGCAGCCATGCAGCACTGACCACTGATCAGGCAAAAGCAACAATCCACCATCTATACACAGTGAGGATCTGTCTGGACGAAAGCTCTTGAATTAAACAATAAGACTCACATACTTCTATATACATTAATCACCAGTGTGTGCTTCTAGATGCTGTTGTAAAAAGACAGAAATACAGAAGTCTATCATTCTTCACAGAAATATTTAATTCAAGACAGCTGTTTTAGAACCAAGTTTATGAGAGAAACCTACTAGAATTAGAAGAGAATTTACTGGAAATTAATGATTTCATGATTGACAACTGTCAAGATCAAATGTAGAGTCAGATGAGAAGATGCAGCACAAAATATTCTGTGATGCAGCCACAATATGCGTACCGTCTAGTTATTATTTCCCATATTCTATTTTTTTTTAAAATCTAGAGCAGCATTATGCCCCTGTAAAATGCTTTGGTGGGAAAAATTCATTAAAATCACTCTCATCATCAGTGAACTTCCATATTCTTTATTGTCTCAAGCTGGTTGACAGCTCCACTATTTCACTGTGCATTGTGAGCACATACTGCGGTCATGTCAAGGCACATTTTGTGCTATGCTTTTGACTGTATGTGCTCAGTGTGTTTAAGTACACACTGGTGACTGTTTCATCCACCATAGAATTAATGTAATTCTGGAGATTCTGTGTTGCAGTTTTCCAACATTATGCTAACAGAGACACTGTCCATTAGCATAGAATGATGCCAGATTATTTGCCTTTCCTGTGCATTTTAGTAACCATCTCTATAAAAGGAGGTGTGTTGCTGGTCACGTACATTTCTGAGAACCTTCAAATGTTCTGTATGTGTGCATTTCATTGTGTGCTAGTATGGACAGCTGGCCAGTGAAAATGGTATAGCGTCAGTCGGTTAGATCAAAGGCCATATGCTGTCCTCTGTCGGCAGCCCTGACCAACCAGTGTTTGAGACAAAACAGACATGCTGGGAGAACGAGAGAAAGTGTGTGTGTGTGCATGCATGTGTGGGGGGAACTCTCTAATAAGGCAACGCATTTCAAAGGAGTGGTGGGTTTTGTACATTCCCTTATACAGCCATGAGTAATTAAAGGAACTTCTTGGGCGAGTGAAAAGATTACTACAGTGTGGCCTGTAACAGTAAAAGTAAACATATGTATAAAAGAAAGAAACGGTGGAAATCTGCAGTGCTGCCCTGTAAAAGCTAAATTTTAGTAGTCTAAGACTACTTACTTTTAAAGATGAATCGAATTCCAGTGCTAAATTTGACTGCTTTAATGTTGTTTCTGCACTTAATGCCCTTTAAGACTGAAGGAAGGTGGCATGCTGCCCACTGCAAATTCAGCATCAGAGAATCAACAGTTAGCGGCTCAAAATGACACTAAAACGGCTGGCCATGGCATGTTTAAACAGCGTAATCAGAACCTCTGTCTGACTCAGAGCAGAGTGAAGTTGCTTTAAGCCAGCAAGAAACTTGCAAGAATGAGCTAAATAACACTGTGCAAACAGCAATACGGTGTCAGAAACCATTAGCAAGTGTACCTGAGATAACATGGTTTGAGGCAAGTGTGATTTAGGTATCAGGGTTGTTGACGCTAACAAAAACTATTACCTAAATGAAAACTAGCAGTGAGAAGATGTTCTGGTCTCACTTTATTTGGAGAGTCTACTACAGTCCCCTGTAGATGTTCTACACACATTCATATTGTTAACAAATATCTGTTGAAACTCAGGTGATTCTAAACAGTGATGGGGTTAGGATTTGGACCAGGGTGAGAGTTGAGTTTAGGTTTTGGGTTAAGGTTAGGGTTAGGATGAGAGCCAGGTTTAGAGTCAAAGAAAATTATGGTCAATTTAGTAGATATTTAGTTGAATGTAACCTGAATGTAAATTAAGTATCTACAAAGCATCTAAAGTGGACTATCCAAATAAAGTGTTATGATGTACTGTACTGACTTGTACTGTAATTAAAAAAAACACTTTTTAAAAACAAGAAAATTAAGCAAACTAAAACAAAATACTGTTACAGAGAAACAAGGGTCACTCTCAATGATTTCAGTGTGTGGTCTGGTCTAGAACTGGATTGTTCTCACAATGATAGCTAATGATAAACTTCCATTTCTTATTTATTTTTTACGCTACATTTGCCTTACAGCACAAGTGCAAAACTAAAGAAGCAAACATGTCTTATCTGGTTGGCTGCTTTTGGGGTAGGGGAAAACAATAAAATTTGATTTGTTGCTGAATTGTTGCCATATTCTTTTAACTTGTATCTTAAACTCTGCCCTAAAAGGAAATTGTAACTCTGAAATCTAATTTCACCCTCAATTACATAAACGCTGATTTCTCTTGTCCCCATAACAAACAAAAGAAACAACGTTAGCTTGTCTTTTTCACAGTAGCCTACAGGCATCAAAGGGGTGGAGTAAGGTTTAAACCTGTTTACGCGTTCTCTCCTTGTAAACTTGGTGGCAGCCAGACACAACAGGCCGAGCGAGCCGTGGGACGCAGTGGCTTTCTTTCCATTTTAATTCTTTTCCCTCAAAACTGAGATGCTGTGCCAAACATGCCGTCTGAGACCAACTAGCTCTCGGCCGAGTCCCCTTACAAGGAGAGCTTTTCTAAATATATCACAGTAGTAAATGCACCCCACCCCACCCTTTTTTTCCAGTAGGCCAGATATTACACCTGGGGTTTGACACAGTGGAAGGAACTCTGTCTCCCGTGAAGCTTGGTGAACTGGAAAAATAGTCTGAATCACTGGAGGGGAAAAAACTGATGCACTTCTATGGGAGACGGCTGTCACAGTTTACCCAGTCTGCTGCTGAACTATCAGTATGGAAAGGAAACCACTGTAGAACATGCTTCTTTACTAACAGCTGCATCCTGGAGGACTTTGAAGAGATGCTTTCACTAAATTTTTGTGACGTAATCTTATAACTTATAACTACATACCATTCAGACTTCTTTAAATACACATACCATGACTGCATGTGAGTAGGGCTGTCACTATCAATTATACAAGTAATGTGATTTGGTTTTTATATTTCAAATGATAAAAATATGCTTAACTGAACAAAAACTGTCCAGAGCCTTTCAAAGCCTCTAGAATACTGTATTGAAAAAATAAGGGAAGCCTTTGAAAATATTTATATCAATAAATTATACATATATCAATAAAACAGTATGGAGCAAGAAATGCATAAAAATGTATCCATCATTTCTTACTGCAAGAGAATTTTAAATATGTAGGACCATATCTTCTATATTATCTACTAGGCTTTTGGCTGATGATTAATTGCCACATAAATAAGTGCAATTTGATTGTCTTTTTGTTCATTGAACGCAACCATTAAAGTACCAGCTTAAAGTGGCCAAATTGGTGGATTATCATCCCTCATAGTTATCAAGACTAGCAGCTTCCAACTGATGACAGTCACAGCTCAAACTCAAATAAACAAACATTACTTGTCACTGCCTCTAACACTAGGGATTAATTCTGATATTTGAGTATGTGTAAGAGCTCATGAATTTATATCCCCCTAACCATAAGGAGGGAAGAATAATGGCAAAACAAACCAAAAAAAAATTGGGCTAAAAATATTTTGCAAGCTAATCCTTTCTAAAAAAGGAATATACATCATTTTGTTATTCAAAAACAGCCAAGCGACATTGGTAGGTTATAGTGCTGGATGGGTAGCAGAGGCTGCCTCTTCAGGAAAGCTAATAAACTAACAAACATCAGTTTGGATGGTGATGAGAACTCGTCTTCAACGCAGTATTTTCTCCTCAGTGGACAGTGGGCCAGCATATTACTTGTCAGAGATTTTGTTATTGTTTCTGGAGCTAGCAAACATCAGCTGGAATAGTTGGCAGACAGCCCAGAGGAAAGAAACATTCTAAATGAGATCTCCTCTTGACCTGTCCAGTTTGAAATCAGAGTGAGACTTAAGCCGTTTTCTCCTGTTTCTGAAATTTGTCTCCTGAGAAATAACCCTCAGATTTTCTCACTTTGATCAAAATATTGTCAGACATGTGGCTTAACTCTTTTGTGTCTGACTCGTCTCACCCCAGTCTCAGCTGAATAATATCTCCTTAAGAAAAGTTTAAAATCTCATCATCTTCTCTCAGTGCAAAAGGAGAACTCATATTTTTCTCATTCATCACCACAACGTCTTATAGTGAAATGCTGATGTTAATCTCCTCTTTTCTAAGGGGGAGGGGGGGTTAGGAAAAACAATTCAGAAATCAGTGATCCTTCATTAATATAATCTTGAGATCTGCTTTATTTCTCTGAGACAATCTTAAGATTTTTTTGCAGCATCTGAGGTGTCAGCAAATTTAATTTCATGCATTTTAAGTCATTTTTAATGCTATTTTTAGAAATATTTAATGCTGCTTTGACACAATCATTTCATGAATGATGTATTCATGAACGCAGCAGTGTTTAATGCAGATACATTCACTTTATAAACAGCCAAAATGTTTTCACTAGTGCTTCTATGGGAATTTTTTCATTATCGTCAAACTAGTGGTGTTGTACATTTCCCACAGTGGGTGTATTACTACTGAGGCAAGCTCTGCTTTGTAGAGAAAGTACTGAAGCATTTGAATTTTGTAACAGACCAACCACTGCTTTATAATAAATTGCATACACCCTGTTTATCATTCAAATTGCAAATATTTACTTAGCTGATTCATGGAGAATGTTAAATGTTTAATTATTGTAATGGAATAACTGATTTGTGTGATCTAATTGTGTAAGTGTGACAGCTGTATAGGCCAGTCAAATAAAAAGAGTCCATGCCTATTTGCATCTTTATTACCTTTGTCTTTGTTCTTCTCTTTGGCTAAGGAGTCCAACTTCCTCCGCAGTGACTTCTTCCTCTTCTGGCCATCTGTGAACACACAGGAGGATAGCATCTACAGTTTAACACGTTAAATTGGTTAATGTGTTTTAATTCCTCACCTGATCACAGATTAGGACTTTAGTTGAGCACAAGCAAATGTTCAATTTGCTTTAATAATCTCATTAGTGTTGTTGCCATGTCCACTTTCTCCAGTCTCTTGTAAACGGGGCAGATATTTTTGTGAGTAATTTCACTCAGATGCTGTTGATGATAATGTACTGTCTCATTTATTATTTATTTACTTTCAGACCACACATGATAAATATGTCTCATAACAGTACAGCTAACTCCTTCAGCTACTTTTTTTTCAGTTACACTGTGGGATTGTTCTACATGGAAAGTGGCTTATCTGATGTGCTCTATCAAAAAAAGTGAAAAGAACGGTGGCATCTGTCAACAACTGACCACTCTTCCATTTCAAAACAACCATCTGCTCTCTCCCCCCCCGACTCAGGAATGCAGCTGCAAAAGATTCCCTTACGCCCACCCAGTCCAGTCTCACTAACACGACACTGGATGTGAGTGTGAAATCCATGTGGAACGGAGAGTGCTCTTGGCCCACGTCTCGGTCATCATGGTTAATCCGCTCTACTTCGCAGCTCAACCGCAAGCATCGATCATTTGAAACACGGTGTACAGAAATGGCTGTCAGTTGTCTCTTAAGTATATCCAAGCAGCTCCTGGAGAAGTACCAGTGGAGCCAGCAGCGCTGACATGTGAGACGTGTTCAACATTGACACTCTGAACTGTGGGTGAATTTTCAGGTGTTTTTAAAGCTATTACGGGTCACAAGAATTTTGATTTCAATACCAAATGCAGTATCACAATGCTCGCTATCAAATGACTCTGGCAGTTTTTACAGTTTAACACTTGGAGCCCCCAGCTATTTTAGCTGTTTAAACTCACAATGGACTACATTATGCAAGTGTTGCACATCTGTGGAATCTGTAGAATCTAAACTAGATGTAATGAACATTTACACATCTCTGGGATGTAGTAACATACACTTTTTTATTAATATAAATGAAAAACTGAAAAAAAAACCAAAAAGATGAAAACAAAGAATGAACTGTCTTGAAACACAGCAGGTATAAGTGCCAACAGGTCTTATCAGGGTCTGAAAAATGTAGCCTATACTTGCTTTTTCCATGTGACAATATATATGTACTGGCACAGTCCTCATAGGCACTTTTTACAGGGGCCTATAAAGGGCACTACATGCTTGCTTCCTCCCACTGCAGTCTGCTGCAGGATATACTGCTGTAGCATTCCCATTGGCTATTAGATCCAAAACGATGATACTGATGCAATGAAATGCAAGATTTCTATAACTCTTTGCAACCCAGTTCTGAACAAACTGCAAACCAAAAAAAACATACATACATACATACATCATCTAAACCGCTTAATCCTTCTGGGTCGCGGTGGGGTGCTGGAGCCTATCCCAGCTGTCATTGGGCGGAAGGCAGGATACACCCTGGACAGGTCGCCAGTCCATGGCAGGGCAGATTCACACCTAGGGGCAATTTTAGCATGTCCAATTGGCCTGACTGCATGTTATTTGGACTGAGGGAGGAAACTGGAGTACCCGGAGGAAAACCCACGCAGACACGGGGAGAACATGTAAACTCCACACAGAAACGACCCTGGTCGCCTGGCCGGGAATTGAACCCAGGCCATTCTTGCTGTGAGGCGTCAGCGCTACCCACTGCTGCCCACCAAAGAAAATGTCTGGTTTTAATGAGCCAGTGTAGCCTTGTTTCGTTGTGTCCACTGACTGTTAGTCATGTATGACGATTAAATTTATTAGATTTAGAAATGGAGCGTGTACAGCATCCCGGCAGGGCTCTAATGGTTAATAAACGTTTGATTTTTTTATTTACATACACATTACAAAATAAGTAGCTAGGTATTTTAACGATGAACTCATTCAAGAGGTGGGAAGATTAAAGAGATTAAGAAATACAGCCCCATTTCCAAAATAGAATGCAATGATATGCAAATCATGTAAACCATATTTTTAAAGGAAAATAGTAGGAAGACCACAAATCAAATGTTGAAACTGAGAAATTCTATTGGTTTTTGAAAAATATATGCCCATTTTGAATTTGTTGCCAACAACACGTTCCAAGAAAGTTGGGACGGGGGACATGTTTACCACTGTGTTTCGTCACCTCTTCTTTTAACAACACTCTGTCAGCGTTTGGGAACTGAGGAGACCAACTGCTGTAGTTTTGAAAAGTGAAATGTTTTCCCGTTCTTGTTTGATATAGGATTTCACCTGCTCAACAGTTTGAAGGCTCATTTGTCGTTTTCATTTCATAATGCGGCGAATGTCTTCAGTGGTGGCAGGTCTGGACTGCAGGCAGGGCAGTTTAGCACACGGACACTTTTAATACTGAGGAATGCTGTTGTAATTCATGCAGAATGTGGTTTGGCATTGTCTTGCTGAAATAAGTAAGGCCTTCCCTGACAAAGATGTCATCTGGATGGCAGCATATGTTGCCAAAACATGTATATATTCTTCAGCATTAATGGTGCCTTCAGAGATGTGCATGTCACCCACGCCATGTGCACTAATGCACCCCTAACAGTGTCCATGATTTCCAAAAAAGAATTTCAAATGTTGATTTGTCAGACCACAGGACATTTCTCCACTTCCCCTCAGTCCATTTTAAATGAGCTTGGGCCTAGAGAATGCAGTGGTGTTTCTGGATCCTGTTTATGTACGGTTTCTTGCATTTGTTGATGCACTGATGAACTGTTTTCACAGACAGTGGTTTTCAGAAGTGTTTCTGAGCCCATGCAGTGATTTCCTCTACAGAATTATGTCTGTTTTTAATGCAGTACTGTCTGAGGGCCCAAAGATCTTGGGTAGCCAATACTGGTCTTTTGGCCTTGTCCCTTGCATACAGAGATTTCTCCAGATTCTCTGAATCTTTTAATGATATGTACTGTAGATGATGAAAAGAAAAAGTTCTTTGCTTTTTTATGTTGAGAAACGTTATTCTTGAATTGTTGCACTATTTGATAGTGCAGTCTTTCACAGAGTGGTGAACCCCTCCCCATCTTTACTTCTAAAAGACTCAGCCTCTCTGGGATGCTCTTTTTACACCCAATCATGTTTCTGACCTGTTGCCAATTAACTACCAGGTTTTTTTTTTAGCATTACACAACTTTACCAGCCTTTTGTTGACCCCGTCCCAACTTTTTTGGAACGTGTTGTTGGCATCAAATTCAAAATGGCCAAATATTTTTTTGAAAAACAATAAAATTTCTTAGTTTCAACATTTGATAGGTTATCTTTCTACTATTTGTTTTTATTTATATTTTTCACAGCGTCTCCCCTATGTTGAAAAAAGTGATAAACTTTTCATACATTGTGCAGCTCTAATTCTAGGACACATTTTAACTAGTGGTGAGATGATAATCATAATAATATAGTATAAAAAAATCTTCATATCAGTAGCTGCGTTTAGCATAACAGACAACCCTCATTTTTTAAATGTAGACATGTTCTCAAGCCCAGAACTATTTTTATTAATAGTTGAATCAATAATGCAGCACCTTTCAATGGTAAGTTAGGGTTTCACCATGCAACTTTTTATAGTATTTGGCCCAGTGACGTTCAAGGAAATAAGTAAAAATAAATAAATAAATAAATAATTTCCTTCTTTACAAGGCAGTGTTCTGGAGCATGTACAGCAAACTGGATTGGTAACTTCTGCCTCTAACCTAATACTGCCATACCATTGATTTTCACATATTTCTTGTTGTGCTGTTGTACTTGCTGTCTTCAGCATAAGCTTAGTGTTTGCAAAGGTCAAATAATTAAAGTAGTTTCACTAGATTTATTTTTATGGACTGTAACTACATGTAAAGTAACCAGAGAAAATGGCACAATAATCTGAACAAAAAACAAAAACCTACAAGAGGTTGTCGTGTCATGTTTATCAGTAATTAACTTATCTGATTATCGTACCTACGCTATCTTCAACTCCATAAAAACCATATGAACCCTATAATCTGATCTGAGAATAGCAAAAAAGGGCATCTTCAACGAAGACCATGGTTGAGACAACCACAAACTCACTCAACACACAGAGATGTCTGAGTTTTAGCAGAATAGCACAATGATCATATGTGTATATGTGAGACAGAGAGACAGACACAGAGGGGGGGGGGAATAAAGAGAGAAAGAGGAAATGGTTGGGATTCTTCTCAGATGGGGTTTGCGTGGCTGAGCGGAAAACCCAGGAAGCCTCCGATCCCCTCCTTTCAGCCTAGCGCCACGTGAAATCACTCTAACTCAGTGTTTTCTTTTCTCTCCTGTGTCTTGCTGGATGGCTTTTGAGGCTTTGCCTTCACCCAACGTAAGCTCGACTTGAGATAAATAATGAAACCAAGCCACTCTGAATGCCCACAAAAACCTCCCAACGCTCACAGCGCTGAGAAATGTCCCTAACACATGGGCATCCCGAATTCTGGAATTAATAGGAAACACAGACCAGCACCTTAAATCATTGAGGGGGAGAGATATAACCCGTGCAGAGGAATGCGGGCCGAAGGGCTAATATACGAGCCGTTTTAAGTGCCTGACTCTGAAGGACGGCTTTTTTGACGGCGTAACTGAAGCTTTCAGACAGGAAGCTTGTCACCTACACCATGTCTCCTGTCTGAATGTGCTCCAGTCTCAGAACCAATCCTTTTGCCTGTGCTGAATCCAGGCGGCTCCGCTGGTCCTGCAGGGCCACGGCTTCAAACAACAGCAGCTATCTTCGTACTGCTACGGCGAGACGTGTTCAAGGAGGTCATAAAGAGAAGCCAAAGCAACAGTTTGTTTACGTCCAACTAGAGGAGCCACTTCGTGCTGATTTGGGTACAGTTTCAATTAATTGTGTCAGTTACCTGATATCTATTTTTAGTTTTTATTCTGATAGTTAAAATTATAAGCAATGGTTCAATGGAGGAAAAAAAAATCCACGCTCTCTCAAATGTGGCCAATCAGCCAAGACATGTTTAGCGTCCAGAGTTTGTTTCTTTAGTTTTGTAAATCGGAAACTGTCTGTGAAAATATTCCTAGTTAAGCTTTGGATGGTTGGATTGGAAATCGGTGTAGAATGTGGCATACTTTCCAAAGCTAATCTCAAACAGTATTATCCATCTTTGAGTCTCTTTTTTTCTTGTTTCGTGACTGCTCCCAGTAAAAGGTTGAGCTGTGACGGGATGCAGGCCTCTGGCTGTTGGTCAGGCAGTGCAGACTGGCTCTGTTAACGCGAAGCAGATCAGAGAGACTCCAGACCTCACAGCTCTCTGAAGTTACAAGCTCTCCTGCTTACGTGAGGCCAATCGCTGGGGTTAAGTCCCTGCCTCTATATGAAAAACATAAACGTGAAGTATTCCTTTCCTGTGAAATGAAGGGAGTGAAAATCATGTTATGGAATACTTCCTTTTCCCACTTCAAAATAGTTCCTAAAGAACTTGTATAACAGAACTTAGAAGATGTGTTTGGATCTTGCCTGTTGTAAAAGATATGTCCATATTTAGAAAATGATAATTATGGCAGATGCTGAAAGTTCCTCCAGTTCTGTTGGAATTTATTTGAGCTGCACTTTTACACAAATAGTGTTTTTCTACAGGGTAGTATGACACAGCATGTCATGGTTACAAATCTGAACCCAAATCTGTTGAAAGCAGGCAGAGTTCTTATTTATTTGTGTGGTCACGTGATTCCTCCTATGATTCTAGCATTAACAGTTGTGTTCTGCCTTTACTCTGTTTTATCTGAAAGTCATAGACTGTGATTCTGATTAGCTGGTGTTTTTTTTTGTTTTTTTTTCCCCCCTTCTCTCTTAAATGGTGGTCACCTGACTCCACTGACACTGCATGATGTTTCTGACTTGTTTGACCAATCAGTGGTTTTCACCATTACAAGCTCCACCCATACATTCTGGCTTGGCATACTTGGTAGCTCAGCACGAGAAGCCGAATTCAGCACTGGTACTCTCACTTGGCATTGGAAATGATGACAAAATGCGTGATCACAGATTTGCAACCCCATTATACCATTCCACACTGCCCAGTGTAAAAATGTCAAATGTTCCTTTCAGTTCAGGACCCAGTCATAGTTCTGGGTAGATACAGTACTTTGAGTCCACCAAATATCTTTGTTTTTTTTCCATTAAAGCAATAGTTTGGCAAAGTCCCAAACCTAGCTGTAGCCTTTTAGCCAAGACATATTCTCTGAACTTTGCCTCTTTACTTTTGCAAAAGAGATAATGTAGCTAACAAGTAATGGAAGCTTCTAACCTACTAATTAGCACTGTGCAAACTGCATGCCTGAAGCATTACATATTTGCCTTGTTAAGTAATCCTAAATACTTACTTATGTGGTTTCTGACGATGTTTGGCATCCTGTCTGTTAATAAAACTGGTTTTGATGACACAATCTGAAGCGTTCTTTTCACAATAACTATCATTCCACTGAGCACCGTTTGCTAAGTAATGATTTGCTTTACGCTGCAGTGAACAATTACTACGTGTGCACTTCAGCACTTACAAAACCAGACATTAGACAACATATTAGACTATTAGACATATTAGACAAAGCCTGTTTGGTCAGATTCTGAAGAAGAGTAGGCCTATTCAAAACTGACCCTAAGCTAGCCTTTTGGTCAGCTATGATGGCAGAGCAATTACACAAACTGTTATTAGCCAGAAACAAACAGAATACAATTCAGTAAGTAAGATGGGCTGTGAAATGCTTTACGGACTGTCTGGAACTTAACAACATTCAGGTTCCTCAGGTAAATGTGTTATCGCAGAGAGCATCATGGCTGTGATTTGTTTGCAGGAGCAAACCGATACAAACTAAAGGGCAACAATAATAAGAGACACCTATCTTTAAATAACCATTTTCACTGGTCAGTGTCATTAAATATATATTATTTGTTAAACATATTTGCCTGAATTTAAATGATAATCACAACCAATTCACATTCTTTTTGTTGCGAATTAAACGTATGATTGTAAAAGCTAACAATTGTGAAAATGAGTTTGATCAGCTCAAATAATTGTGATCAAGCAATTATGTAATAATTGTGACCGTACCACCAGGCTGACAGCCCATAATCTTACCTTTGGGTATTGTGATCTGGCAGCCCAGGTCATAGTCCTGGTGTAGCCGGTTGAAAGCAACCTCCTGCAGCCTCACTCTCTCCAGTTCCGACAGGCTCTGGATGGCCACCGGCTTAAGCCGCACACTCCGCCCAGACAGGCTATTCCAGGTAAAGTCACCCTACAGCAGAGCAGATGAGAATAAACGTCACACAGCAAGCTTACAATCATCTAAATGGAGTGTTATTTAATTCTGTTATGGTCAGTTCCACTTTGGTTTATCGCAAAAAACAGATATGGATTCATTATACTAAACATTAGAGTTCAGATAAACGATCAATCACGTCCTTTTTCACTATCTGTTGATATTAATAGTAAACGTACTGCTATGTGAGGTCAAGTTGATCGTGCTGGACACCCCAGTGTGAATGAAACTTTTCTCAGCAGTATATATTAGCCAGCATATAAGGGCATGCTTCAGCTAGCTGTTGGACTTCACATAAATAGCCTTAGTGAAGTTATCCAAGGAAATCACACACACAGATCTGTCATAAATATGGTGGCGGTGGGGGCAGCACTTTGGCGGGGACGGCCAAGAGCCCAAAGCAGTTTTAGAAAGCATGTATGATTTACTTTAATCCTCTAGTCTGGTCATGAATGGTTTTACTTCCACCACTTCGTTTTCGTTTCTTGGAGCTCTCTTATCAAAGTGATTTCCCCCACTCTTTGTGGGAGGACGGAGTGAGTGAGACTGCATTTTTGAGAATAAATCCTAGTGCCAGCCTACCCCCATTTCCAAGAATATCTGCACTTTGAAAATGCCATCAGCCAATAAAGCGGAATAAGTCAATGTGCTGTAAACTGGAACAAGCAAACGTCTTTTATTTAAAGAAAACGATTTCTGGATTTGATCTTCCTGAATTGCTTAATGTTGAGGCTTTTCCCTCTTACCATGCTTGCCAAGTGGGTTGTTTCTTACTTTCCTGTCACATCCTCACAATTGTACATGAATTATATGCTGAACTCGCATTCACATACAACACGAGTGCACAGAGTTTTCACAGAGACATCCCCCTTTGCGTTTTGCCTTCACATGGAGTTATTCTTACAACGGGATGTCTTTGGCATTTACTACTCAATGTTTTGAGTTGACGGCCCATAAAATCACAACAGACCCAGCGTGCAGAGTGCCTCTGGGGTTGCGATGACGCAAGGCCTGTATCCAGAGCCAGCAGTCAGTATCGCTGAGGAGAACAGCACAGCACAGCAAGGGCAAGAGAAATAGAAGACGAGGGTTTGTGTGTGCTTGTGTGTGCGAGACAGAAAGAACTCCAAGCCCTCCACTCTCAGCATGTGCGTAACTGCATGCTCTCTCTCCTCTCGAAAAGAAAACATGAGGTCAAAGTTGACGGCACTGGCCCATTCAGGCGGTGCCATACCTCTGGACGTCTGTATGTCCTTTAAAGAGGAGTGGGTGAACTGGCCACAAAGATTCCTTTTAAAAGGACATTGCTCTTCAGGGACCACACAAATCACTGACAGTTACCTAAACATATTTATCTTTACAAAGTTAGTGTTTCTGTCAGACTTGTGGCCTGTGGTGTATGTGTCACATCCATCCACAAGAGGGGGGACTGTCCTGAGCCAAGGTGGATGGGGCACAGCTTCAGAATGCCAAGGAAGAGAAAAACAGCTGGAAGAACGGAGACGCCTGCCAGGGCACGTCTGTGAAAGCACATCTATGAGCCGCATACTCGGCACTTTCCCATTTGTGCAGCCCTTGGACCTCACTGTGACTAAAGGATCTTGGCACCCATGGACATCAGCGGAATGTGGACAAAAACAAACGCTGGATTTAATTAAGGCAGAGAAGCTTCAGTTCAGCTCACTGCCACAATCGACCTTGATCTGTTTGCTTACAGTTTTTCCTCGGGGCATCAAGAACTCAAACTAACATCTTGCTGGCTCTACCAGTACGTCCAACAAACAGCAGTACTATCTCTTTGTAACAAGGTCACCCTTGTGTTATTCCATTTTGTCAACTGTCCTGGTGCACTAAACTCCCCTGAGCCCCTTCATAATGTCCCACCCTGTTTCTGGAGGTCACAATCTGTTTTACGCTCATTCAGCTTCTTATCTTCCCTGTTTCCCTATCTCACATCCTGTCTATGTCTAACAAAAGAGTACCACAACCCAGTGTCAACCAGAGGAGGATGGATTTCTATTATTGAGACTTGGCTCCTCTGTAAGTTCCTCCTCATGCCCTTAGGGAGTTTTGTCATCCTTGCCACTGTCACCCTTGGCTTGTTCATTAGGAATTTAGGCCTAGATTTCCATGAAGCTGCTTTGAGACAGTGCCTGTTGTAAAGTATATGATTAAATCATATTCACTTTACCTGCCATCCTTGCATCATCTGGTCTCACAACTCTCAACAGCAACATACAGACTTTAACCTTCAAAAGTGCCAAGATGGCTAAACCTTTCTTACCTGTTCATCAGACTCCCGCACCAACCACATAAATCTTTAATGTGCCACCTCCAGCTCCATAAAACCCCCTACCATCTGTCCCACTTTTTGTTTCTGAAATGAGTTCCTTTGGTTCTCACCACTTATTTACACAGTACTCTCTGTTCCAAGTTATTACAGTTGTCATTACACATTACACTTCAGGGTCACGCTGTGTCTTTTGCAGCCCAAGAATTTTGTATCTAGGTCTGTAACAATCATGAAATTTTAGACTAATTGCCGTATAAATAATTTCTATTATCATTTTGTCTATTTTGTTAATTGTATGCAACTGTAAAGTATGAGTCTAAAGTGGCCAGACAGGCCGATTAGCTATTGCTTCCTAGCTGCTGGAACTTAGACAAAAGACACAACTCAAATAAACAAACATTCTCAACAAACTCACCTCTGGCTTCTAAACATGTTATGACACCAGCCAGTAGTTAGAACTTCTGTTGTTTTTGTACGACCCATGACATCTCAAGAAATGCGTTTCCTGCTAGAGGTATGCACTCCTGCAGTACCCACCACAATATCTTGCGTGGGACTAATTTTCAGGGTTGCACGCAGGAGCGGGCGGGAAAACAACCCCCTGTAGGCGGGCGCGGGACAAAGCACACAAGAGAAATCCCGCAAATTAATGAATGGCCTAAATAATGTAGAATGATCACTAAATCACATATACAAACAATATAAATTGATAACAGTAAAACAGGTAAAATGAATGAAGTCATTCTAAAGAGTTGTGAGGCAACCGATCACGTGAACAGCGTGCAAATTCTCGTAGCTTACAGAGATGGCAGAGCCTTCAGTCCAACGGCCACAACTGCCCAGCAAAACGCCAAAAATAACCATTTAATTTAATTTGAATCCTTTGTGTTTACTGGGAATAAATGGTGTTTGGTGAACTTTATGGTGAGCGTGATGGCCATGACTGTCGTGTTATTTCAGCAGAGAATAACATATTTGTGAATGGACTATGTCAGATATTGGATGTCAGTTTGCCTTGACAGAACTGCACTGGCGAGAGCAGGTCTAAACGTCTTGGTTGCAGACGGGAGCAGGCCAAATAATTCAGATTTTCTGCGCGAGCGGCGGGAGAAGGACTGAAAAAACAGACCTCTACTTCCTGCTTTCTTTTATTTACATGCTTTTACCTCAAGCCAACTAAAGAAACTGCACCCAATTCAAATTCTGTTTGTTCTGGCATTAATAAATGATTGTGAAAGCTAACAACTGTGGAAAATAATTGCGGTTAGCAGAAATAATTGCGTTTTGATTAAGTGATAATTGTGACAGGCCTATCTCACTGGGTGCTGGTCTTCTTGGGCATACCTCAGACATCCAGACATACAAGACTTTGGAAAAGCACTATATTTTAACTTGGGAGTGCTTTGGAGGTCTAGCTTTCTAGCACTAGCAGAAGCCATCCAACTTCTCATCCCTCCTACAGTCATACAATCTCTCCTCATACTACAGCCATACACTGAAGGAGTGGTCTGAACTCAGAAGTGACAGATATCGGTAGCTAACAAACAGAAATGTGAATTGGAATGAACAGCAGGTCCTGTAATGTGAACCTTCTCGTCATAGACACGTGAGCTCCGTTTGCCGGCTGCTTTTGTGACTCAAGCCAGTTTGATAATACCACCCTTTCCGTTTTTTCTAAGTGGAAAGCTAAGAGCATGTTTTGGTCCCCCTAAGCTTCTTTCCATCTTTTCCGCTCTCCCCTTCATTTGCCCCTTCACTCACATTGGGACGAGATGCAGCTCCATACATTCCACCCAAGGGCCTAAGAGGCCTCAGCCACATGGGCCTAAACATAAGGCATGTAGTATGTATGCACCCTCAATGACTTCCATGTGGGAGAAAAAGCTCTCTGAATAGACAGCAGATGAGCAACAGAAATCATTCATGAAATCTTGCACTGCGTATGAAGACCTTTCAGCTTTAACTTCACTTTACTATCAATTTGTTTACAGAGTAAGTATGGGGATGAAAACAGTCTTTTGGCACAGTTAAAGAGATAAACAATTACTGCGCATGACCTTGCAACCTTACCAATATTAGATTACCAGATAAATGAACACATTTTAGTTGTATTCAGTTTTATTTCCTAAGACATTTTGGTCACTTTATTTAATCTAGAGGTTCTCTGTTTATAAACTATCTGGTAAAACTCAGTTGGTATTAACAGGATTAGATTAGGGGTAGGTTTTGGTTTTGAGTTGAGGTCAAGGGGAAAAAATGACATTGAATTCAACAGATATTTAGAAAGACAAGCATCTACAGAGATTCTACAATGGACCTTTAAAACAGAGACCAATATTTCTTATATCGTAATAATGTCTCTATTTTTTTGGTCCTGTTGACCTTCAGAATATAACACGAGTTCTGACAGTAAAGCAAAAATATTATTGTGGATGATATAAACGAGACATTTACAGCTAAAAGTAGGCCCAAACTAATTCTGTTTGAGGATTCCCGGCAACATTATCATATTAACACAGAAAAGACAGGGCAGTACCCTTGGAAGAAATCTACCTTATTTATGCTTCCAATAGTCATTCTTGTCCATGTTTACGTAGTCTACACATCACTATAATCTAGTTATTCAATTTCCATTGAAATAATATACTCCTTCTGTCAGGTTCTTGTGTCTCTTCGCCCTGTT